AAAATCGATATTATAACATTAAAATTTCATGTGATATTTGGGTTTTAATTAGGTTTAATTAGAATATACTTTTCTATGACTTTTTATGTTTAATTGTCAATAACTCCGGAAATATTGTGAATAAATAAATGAAATTTGCAACACTTATTAACAATATTTTCTAAAACGCCGAAATAAAAATTATTTATTTCAAAACTCTAAAAGTTATTTGACTTCAAAGTATAGCTTTTATTGTTCTCAATCAAAAACTTTTTACTTATAACTTATTTTACAAAATTATTAATAACAAATAAATTAAGGCAACAATATTAACTTCTTAACTTCTGATTGATAAACAAATAAATTATCTATTACTTAATAAAAATCTGACTGTTCTAACTTCAAAATTGTAAAAGTTATCGTATGTCAAAGTTGGACTTAATAATTTCCTAATAAAAACCACAAAAATTAATTGATATCAATATAACAACAAAACAAATAAATATAATTAACTAATTCTTTCCCAAATAAATAAACAATTAAATTACCTACCAAATTCAAAAAAACTAAACACCCTACCTATAAAACTCAAAAAGTTATTCGCTCATAAACTTAAACTAGAAATTAAAATACTTTACAACTCAACAACTTATAAATTTTATGAACTATATAATTCCTATCACTCCAAGCATTACTTTGATTTCGCATTCCGTTTGAAAACCACCCTCTGAAGATCTTACAATACACATCCTTGTTTAATTCATTCCCTTACTGTCTTAACTGTATTTCCAACCAACCCCCAAACCCCCTATACCCCCCCTATACTCTAAGCAAGAGTAAAACAAGGATTTACATAGAAACATAATATAATTCGGTGAATTTAAAAGCCGTTTCTCGAAACGACGTGGAATAAACACTGAAATGCGTGCTCACTAATTCACTTTCAATCGTTTTACGACACTCGCGATGCGCATTGGAATTACAAGATACAATCAGAAGTAAATTAAGTTTGCGCAAACACACAAACAGAGGGACGGCGATAGGAGATGGGGAGATAGAGGCGACGTTAGTGTAATGCGATACTCATTAAACTTTAATAAGTTCAAGTTGCTCAAAGTGAAGTTGGAGTCGCAGGCAGTTGTAACAGAAATTGAGAAATTGCAATTTCGAGTTTTGGAACATTTTAGCAATTCAAATATATATTTTGTGATAACTCATAAACTGATAAGAGATGAAGAATAATTTTTGGAGGAGTGATAGATAATTAAAATGTCTATAAGATGCAAAAGTAAGAGGTTTATAGATTATATACTTTAGGAGTTATTCGCGTTCAAAGTGAACCTATAAAATTATTTTTGTTATTTTGCATAGGAAATTATTAAGTCGAACTTTGATATACGATAACTTTTACAATTTTGAGGTTAGAACAATGAAATTTTTACTAAATTATAGACAATTTATGTGTTTATCAATCTAAATTTTATTTGTTAACAGAGCTGCTTTAGTTTATTTGTTATTAATAATTTTGTTAAATAAGTCATGAGTGAAAATTTATAGTTTTAGAAAAATAAACGCAATATTTGAAAGCCAATAACTTTTAAACTATTAAACATAAACAACTTTTTCTTTCAGCATTTTATAAACAATTTTACTATTAACATCCTCTTCAAAATTCACTATCCCTACATCAATACTTCTCATGTTACACTCAAAAAACTCCCAAAAAACAAACAAAAACATAAATCCTCCCTTTTTTAACCTACAAATATTCTAAAATCCTCCACCATAACCTGAAATTACCCCCTGCACAAACATAACCTTTCCCGAAATATCCTAAATGCAAAGGTGCTAGAAACTGCCGATGCTGGAGGTGGCAGCAGCGGCGGCAGTCGAACGTGTCGGTTTTTATTGCCCACAATTAAAGCTGCTGCTCTCTGCCGCCGCTGCTGCTCGTGCATAATGCTCATACTCATACCTACACTCATATACCAGCGGCGGTCGACTGTGGCGGCGGCGGAGGCGGAGGCGGCAAATGGCGCGCGCGCGTCGTTAAATTTCATTTTCGTTATTGCTTTCGTGCACAACCGTGCAAAACCATAACCGAACTATACGAGTTTGATACTCTAACAGTCTAACATAATATAGAAGAATAAATTTTCATCGTGTGCATACAGAGTGTTTGGATTAACATGAAATTTTATTTAAAATTAAAACATTTTGGGTGGGTTTTGTTTTTGTTAATGATTGGGGCTGATAAAATGCTCGAATGATTATTCAGCGAAAAGTATTGAAATACAAGGCGGAATGATGAGTAATGACAGGTGTCCGATGAAAAAGCGACAATTAAAAGCAGAAGACTAATGACACGCTGCGAAATGATTGATGGAGATTTTATTTTTGTTTTGTTTTGCAAAGGGTTGTATTTGGTATTCCATGAATATTTGCGATAGAATGCAATGGAAATTTTATTTTACGTTCTATTAACTTAAAATATAAATAACTCGTAAAGTTTTGAGGTTAGATGTTTGTTGTTTTATGTATGTTGTAGGTAGTTTTATTGTTTATACGGGTGATAAATTTTGTAGGTGTGATATTATTTGTTTTTGTGTTATTTATAAAAAAGTAAAGTAAAGTTTTTTTTTTGAGTGATTTTTAGTGATATTTTAAAGAACAATAACAATTAAAGTTTTAAAGTTATAATAATTTTGTTTAATGAATATTGTAGATAATTTTATTGTTTACTAGCTGCGAAAATTTGGTTATTGTTACTTTAATAGTTTTTGTGTTATTAATAAATAAGTAAAGTAAAGGAAATTATCTTTTAACTAAAATATAAAAAATAAAATCAAATTTTAAAATGCAATAATAACTAAACTATTATACCTAGAATATTACTCTTAATTGAAAATTATAAACAATTTAATCGTTAATCTCTGTACTAAATTTGTGGCCAATACTACTATAGGTTTAATTGTTATTAATAAATAAATTAAAAAATAAAACAAATTACTGTTTAACTAAAATATAAAAAATAAAATTCAACTTTAAAGTGCAATAACAATTAACCTACTACACTTGCAATATTACTTTTTTTACAAATTGTAAAAAATTTATTTGTTAATCACGGTACCAAATTTAGAATTAATACCTTTACTGGTTTTGTTGTTATAACAAAATTAATGAAATAAGTCACTTTTACTTCTAAATAACCCCAATTTTTTTTTGTTAGAATATTGCAGTTTGTGGTATTTTATCACTACCAATTTACGTAAAACATTTAATAATATTAATGATATGTATTGTTGTTTTACTTTTTAAACAAATAATTATTCTAATGGCATATATTTTAAAACTTGCAAATTTATTCCACAAACAATAACTGAATATCCGATTAAATAGTGATTACGACTTAACCTTGCATTTGCTTTCAGTTTAATTTGTCTATGCTCATAATATACATAAATATCATGACGTCATATACATAACATTAGTTTAGGGTATAAAAACCCTACACTGATCTACATTAACTCTATTCTACTCGTCCTTTTGCTGTAAAGTCAAAAGTAAAACACTTACAACACAATAATGGTAAATATTTATAAATTCTAAAATAAATATTTTGTTTTTGTTTTAATTCTTTTAATTTTTATTGTTTAAGGCAAAATTCTGATTCTTTTCGCAACTTTAGCCCTAGCAGCGACTGTGGTCCTTGCAGAACAAGAAAACACCGAGGGAGATTTAGTTTGGACGCCAGGAAAAATCGTAGTCAACTTTATTCAGAACGTCTTCTGGGGCATCCATGCTATTGTATTCCTTCATATTCCAGGTGGCATGTTCCAGCTTCTCATGGGTGATATGGGCATTCTTACATATTATTAGGTGTACTTTTTGGATCGTGGTATTGCCGGTGTCTACCGTTTCATCGCTTCTTTCTTTGGATAAATCATGAATAACTGTTCTAATATTGACTTTTGATTAATTTACTGATAAATAAATAAACAGCAACTATTAATTGACAATCTATACTTAATTATTATTAATTTATAATAGGTGAAATTGGATTAATTAAAATTCTTTTGGAAAAATTAGAAATGAAAAATGAAAAAATTGATGTTGGTATATCGCCATTTTGTTTATAACTCAAAAAGTATTATTTGCATAATAATAATATTCACCATAGGTATAAACAATTAAATTATCTTCAAATTACTAAAAAGTAGAACATTCTAACCTAAAAACTTTTAAAGTTATTGTCAATTAAAATTGAAAATTTCAAATTTATAATTTGTAAAAAATCAAAAAATTTCAAACATTCTCACGTATTTTTCATTATAACTCAAAAACTATCAACATTATTTTAAAAATATTTACCACACATATAAACAATTAAATTATCTATACACTAATGAAAACCAGAATAACTTATCTATAAAACTTTAAAAATTATTAACAATCAAAACTTAATCATAAATTTTATAATTCAAAAAGTAAAAGGTCAAAAAACGCGACTAAAAGTGCTAAAAAGTGACATTTTTCAATTTTTGTCCATTTTATTCTATCGCGAATATCTCGTAAACTAAAAGAGATAAATAGGATTTGATCGCAGCGTCTTAATCTACGGAAATTTTTCTATAAGATAAACTGATTAAAATGCATATATAAGAGATGAAATATTAATTCATAAGAAAAAATGGGCAAATGGGAGTAAGCTATACAATCATCCACGTATGGTGCCCTGTCAGTTCTACCGCAACCCTCATACGGTACCCTGAACACGAGTCACTTCTACCGCTACCCTCATACGGTGCCCTGAACACAAGTCACTTCTACCGCTACCCTCATACGGTGCCCTGAACACAAGTCACATCAAGGCGAAACATGTAAAACTCAAAAATAAATCCAAAATCACGTATAATTTTTAATAAATAAATATTTTTTATACATATGCAACAAGGATTACGTGTTCGACTTAGAATGTAATAAAATAATTAAAAATTATAATAATTTTTTTTCAGTATCAAATAATGACGAAATATAGTTATCCATACGAAAAACACTACGTAACAACTGAAGATGGCTATATTCTAGAAATGTCCCGTGTTTTACCTCGTTTATACAACCAAAACACCAATACATCTATTCCATTTAAAATCTATCCAAACTTAATGGCAAAATCACCTGGCGAGCCGGTTCTTCTCATGCACGGATTAATGTGCAGCGGAAGAGTTTTTGTTTCGCATGATGCTGACAAAGCTCTTGCTTTCATCCTAGTCAATCATGGATATGATGTTTATCTTGGCAATGCCCGAGGAAATACCAATAGCAGACGACATGTCACATTAGATCCTGATTTGGACGCCAAAGAATTCTGGGATTATTCTTTACATGAAATTGGTGTCTTGGATCAAGCTGCCATGATAGACTACATAATAGCATTGACAGGATTCAATCAAGTGTCATTTGTGGGACACTCACAAGGAGGCACTACGTTTCTTACCATGACAGCAGGAAGACCAGAAACTAACGCAAAAATTAAAATTGGGTTTAGTTTAGGAGGGCCGGGGGTAATGAGGTATACACCGAGTATATTGGCAAGAAGAATTTCGAGTTATGAGAAGGAATACTTAGCAATGGCTAATCGATTGGAAATCTACGAGGTTCTAAAATATGCTCCAATATTTAGAGACTTGGCGAAGATTTTAATTGATGAAGAATTCGGATTAAGAAACATGATAAGCCAAGTTTTAAATGTTATTAATATTATTACCACATATAATATGAATATTGTAAGTATAATCAACATAAAGAGAACATTTTTTTATTCAATGTTTTTAATATTTTTAGGAAATAATGGCTGTTTTAGCAAGTGCATGCCCTGCTGGAACCTCAGTCCATCAATTTATACATTATTTTCAAAGTATAAAGAATGGCGACTTTAGATTTTTTGACTATCATGATAAAACCAAAAATTTAGAAAAATACGGATCTGAAATTCCTCCTCGCTACAATCTTTCGGCGATAACATGTAAATCAATACTATACTACAGTAAAGATGATTTCTTCATTCAAGAAAAAGTAAGTTATAATATTTTGTATGTTTTTCCAGATTCAAACATAATGTGTACACAATTGTTGGTAATTTTTAGGATACGTTTCTTATGAGTAACCAAATGCCTAATGCCATTCCAGTGGAAGTTAAAGTTGACAAATTCAGCCATGCTGATTATATGTGGGCGCGTGATATCAACAACATCTTGTTTAAAGATTTGCTGTGGCGAATGAGAAATGCGTAATTGCAAATATAAATAAATAAAACAGTTACAATTTTGTTAGAATGTGTCAATGCAAATATAAGACAGATATTTTTTAAATTTGTGACGGTGTAAACAGTCAATTAGTAAATAGTGCATAATTAATTTGCAAATATTTGAAACTTCAAGCGTCGTTGGTCTTTCTCTTGGAGTTAGAATTTGTATAAATTCACTTACAGAGTAAAAGAGAAACTGTGAAGTCAATTTGTAAACGAATACTTTTATTATAAATTATATTAAAATTTTAATATAAAAATGTTAAAAATGGTTCTATTTGTGGTGAGTTATAATTATTCGATTAAAAGAATTAACTTTACATAAATGTACAATAATTTTGTTTTAGATCGCTATATTTTCAATGATTGCAAATATGTTTTGCATGCCTTTCAATTCAAATGATTATAGTGATGTAGATATTGATGAAATTAGTGAAACTGCCAAAGTGTCTACATGGCAAGCATTTTTACAAGATATATTTTCCTCTGATATTGTAGATGAAAATAATAATTTTACAAATTTAAAAACCAAAAATACGACCGACTCTACACTAAACACAGTAAACGATGAAATTACCACAGATAACGTAAACGACAGAAAAAGATATGAACATTATCTTAATTATTATTTCTATCCTTCTTATTGGATCGATTATAAACCGGTAAAGAAACCTACTAAACGACCTACAGCATCAAAACCTACCAAAAAGCCACAAAAACCTCATAAACCAACAAAACCAACCTGGATTTATGCACCAAGTTATCCAGCTTGGTATGTTAATGCTACTTTTCCTGCTCTTACAAAAACAAACCAAGAATTTAAAAACCAGTAACATTTTATACCAACTCCAACCATTAAGGTATGTTCAGTAAAATCGTAAATAATTTTGATTTTTATTGCAATTTTATCAACACTTATTTTTGTGGTATTTTAGTTCGATGTCAAAATGGAAATACTTTCATTGAAACTGCCTTTCGAATACGATTATCAAATACATGATAAACGTGTCAATGCTTATGAAAAAAAGGTGTTAGACAAATTCGACAGCTTTGACAAATATACACATTTTATAGTTAAGTTATTTAAGTTATATAATTGATTCTTTTTTATAAATAATTTAAAAATTGCAATTTTGCAATGAAAACTTTTTGTTTTTCTATGACGTGAGTAAAACTACTCAGTACTATCGATTTCATAATAAACTATGCATGTAGTAAGAAAAAAACACCTTATCCAAGGTATAAACAATAACAATTCATGCTATTTATCAATTGACATGTATAAATCCAACTTGAACAACGCCAATTCGATAAAACCGCATTCTTAAGCTTTAACAATTTGCGCAGTTTATCGTCAATCACGACAATGACAAATTTGTATAAAACCAAGTAAATTTCTAAAACAACTCATTTAGTTTACACTTTGATCATCATGAAGTATTTTCAATTTGTTGTATGTGCACTTTTGGTGCTTTTTGCCTTTGCATCTTGCGAAAGTCATAAACACCACAAAGGTAACAAATTATATAAAAATAAAAAATTGAAACAAAAAAAATAAAAATTTAATTATTTTAATTATAGCCCAATCTAAAGCGAAAGTAATCGAAGAAAACAAGTATTTAGCAAAAGCAAGAAAAGGTAATAAACAAGGACAATGCCAAATGATTTGTGAAGGAGTAGATCCACCTCCAGGAAAAAATGTAACCAAGTGTAAGTATTTAATTAATTTTTAATTTAATAATTTAATAAAAAATAAATTTTAATAAATATAAATTTAATAGATCCCGACGGTTCATGGTCCTACATAATTCAAGTTGATAACAATTTCAATATTCACATTGGCTACAATAGATCCACAGATTTTCTGGCAATTTTCAACCCGCATCTTAACTTAACCTGGATGACAAATGGCAAATTTATCGGCGTCTTTAATTTAACTTCAGAATATCTCTTATTAGTAGATACAACCAGGAATATTTTAAACATCTTCCCAAATATAAGTTTACAATTATTGAGTGGCTCTCTTGATATAATGAGACTATTTACACTTCAAAGCAATTTATTACTAAATAATTCATTGAACATGGTTGCAAGATTTGCTTTCCAAGTTGATGGCTTCTTAAAATCATTACGTGAAAGAACTTTAACTGGTTTCTTCCATGGAAATCTCACAGTTTTCAATGTTTTTAACGTTAACTTTGGTTTCTATATGAATAGTTCTGTATCAATGGATGGTTTCAACACATTTATGCAACCTATTGTCGGCATTGGAAAATTCCGCACACAAATCGTAAACAACATCGGTGCGAGTATTGAATATGGAGGTAAATTGACTATCGGTACAGTGAGTTACATTTTTGTTGGTTTGGGAAGAATTACCATCGATATAAACAATTCAATCCGCGCTGCAATTAGACACTCAATCAATTCAAGTATCAGTATTGGGAGTAGTTTGATTGGAGGCGCGGTTAGACTACCAGGATCGTTGTTCAATATAATAAGAGGAACGATTCATATTGAAGGAGGTGCAGGTTTTCATATTTCAACAGGAAGCAACAGACATAATGGTTTCCTGATTAATTTCGGCAATGAAACTGGAAATTATAGTATAAATTATAATGCAACACATAATACACTTGGGTTTTACAATGGTAACCTTAAATTAGTGCTAATTGCAGATGGTAATAATGGAATGTTTATGATTTTGAATGAGACCTCTTCGGCGGGTTTGATTGTAAATTCAACTGGGTATGGTAAACTTTTAGTTGATATTGAAGTTGACTCTGATGCTGATGGTGATAATTTGGATCTTGTATCACGTTTTGCTATTTATGCAAAATTATTGAAAGAAAATGAAGAGATTAATCCGTCAGATGATTTGTCGTTTGATTTTAAAGCATATTTGAATGCATATTTAGAAGGTAATGATTATTTTGAGAATGAAGAGGATGCTGAGTTGCAAGTGGAATTAGAAGAGAATTTTGGTGATTTATTCGCTTTTATAAGAGATAATAATGGCGCTGAATTATTTGCTAAAGTTGGGATTTCTATTATGTTTAATGCTGTGTATGGCGATAATGTGATTGGATTGAATTTTGCGCAATTGATGAATACAATATACGCAATTGACGCGAAGAACCGTGGGGAATTTTCCGTGAAACTTATGAAAGAAGTTTATGCTAGAGTGCAAAGTAATATCAAAGCTGGAAGTAAAGGTTTTACTAAATATATTTTTAGTGGATTGTTAAAAGGCTGTATCAAAGGATCTTTTCAATTTAACGGTTTGTCAGGATCTGTTGGATTAAGCGGAAAATGTTAAAATTGATAATTGATTGTTGAAAATTAATAAACATAAATATACACAAATAATTTTAAATATTTCTTCCTATCCAATGAAATATTAATTCTAAAAATTTCCAATAGTGCGTTTTTATAAAATTAATAGTTAATATACGAGTAGAAAATACAAATTTATTTTATTTATTATTATTATTTCAGCAATAAATATCTGATTCATAATAAATTATTATAACTAATATTATAAATACGAATGTTTGACTGAGTTTGACTGCAATGTTAGATGAATTTTGGATCTTGGAGAATAACGTAGACTTATTTGAATTTTTTAAATTACGGTTTAGTTAAAAATATCTATCGGGACTCGGTAACTAGATGTGAATGTGGAAATTAACCACTAATTGCCCGCAAAATTACCAAATATTAGTATACGACGTAGACCCTACGTGCACAACGTTAAACTAACTATTTTTGTATTGCAGTATACATTTCTTATTAGCCAGTAAATAAAGTAAAATAACACTCATGTAATTATAACAATTATTTAAATTATACCTTAATTATCCTTTTTTAAATACCTGATAAAACCTATTTCTTCATTACGATTTATTTGAAAAACCGTCATAATATATTTACGTTCATTCTATAATTACAAAATACAAAAGAATTTAAAAAATAAATTGTTATAAAAATCATCGTTAAAGTGCTGATTTCTAGAATATTCCCGTATAAATTATCGTCTTGAAAATATTAGGTAGAATATTAATAACCAGACGTTATTAGCTGTTGAATTCGAATCACCTTGAGCTTATCAGTGCAAATTCTTCCATGTAACTAAACTTCCCTCCAACAAACACTAAAAACCAAATTCTTTTTTGTCATATGAAGCGTTAAACATGAGAATGGTGGGCAATTATTACAAAACCGAGCATGTGGCGCTGAATTATGTAAAAATATGTAAAATTTCAAAATCTGAAACATTACAAGAATTCCAGCCATGCGCGCCTTTTAACATTTAATTACGCTATATAAATCTGAAAAAACAATGAATAACTCGTAGTTGACAGGCCAAAACCATGAGGGCAATCACGCTGATATGTTCGGTGCTATTCTTGGCCATTGCATCTGCCCAAACTGAAGGTACCACACAAAAAAAAACAAATACAACTAAATAAAAAAATATTTTTTTAATAAAATAAATTATTAGTAGATCAGCAGCAATGCACCACCGTCTGCCAGGTCACAAGCCAACCCAACGTGAACAACGATGGCAGCTTTGTAATCTACATGAGCGAAGATGTAATCTATTTCTATATGATCCAGTACAACGCTTTTGTAGTCGTCAACATCAAACTGCGTCTTGTAATCGTCATTGACGGCAACAACGGAACCATAACATCTTTAAACCCCGACACAGGTTTTGGTATCATAACCAACATCGAAACTAATCTGGTGTTTGCCTTCACACAAAATTTGCAAATTTTCGACATCACTACCATCAACAGTGGTGACTACTCAGTTGTCGTACAGATAATCGAGTATGTTTATCAATACACAGTTAAGGTTGTTGGCAGTAACATCGATACCACTGAAATTGGCTACGCAGATTCCACTGTTATTCTTCGTGATTACTCTACAACCACAGACTTCACCCAATGGGTCTCCTACGGGGAACAGACTGAGGTTGTACAGTTGCTTATCCAGAGCAATACACAGGTTGCCGAAATTTTATTCAAATTGTTTGAAAGTCATGAATACACAGTTGAATGGGGTCCTGTTATGTATCTGATTGTTGCTACAGGGTCTTATGAAATCAATGATCGATTACTAATTGAATTCAACAACTTTGCTGTTTCAATCGTGCGTACTCTGTATGGAAGGTTTGATAGTTATCTGATGAAAGAATATTATTTGATTCTTGTCTCTCAACAAACGCAAACTACTGAAATTACGATTGAGCAGTATAGGAACCTGACATGGGTGATCAACGGAGTGGGTACCACCTATGAAACCCTCCAGATTGCTTTGAATGCATACGCAGAACAAACCGTTGTACAGACTTATGTTAGTACCATCAGTGTTAATGAAACCCATAGCTACGTGGCATACAACAGCATGCGTGAAGGTACCTGGTTGTTCAGGATCACCTACAGCCAACAACACTACGTTCAGGTGACAGCGAGTTACCATGATGGTTACATGGGTATTTTTGATCCTTCACAGGATTATACTATGGTTTTCACAAGTACTAATAAGTTTGCTTTGATTAATTACAAAACTGGAAATGGTTTCATTATTGATGGATTCACTCAATCAGCTACTTATCTTGTGGCTAATAGTGAAGAAATAATTATTGCGTTTGCTGAAGGCCGTTACATTGATGGGTTTAAGAGAGTGAAGGAATTAACCGAAAATACTGAAATTGAAGAAAATGCGTCTTTCAATGCCACGTTGTTCTTCATTGCTTTGAAAAATGGAGATTCCTATGAAAATATGTTGAGCCAAGAGCAGTTGGATAGTTTCCAGGCAGATTTTGCACAGCTTGCTGAGCAGTTATCCGAGGTTGACTTTGAGAATGGTTTTGGTATTAGTAACATTGCTGTTGTTATGCTAGCTGGACCTAACACCAAATTCTTCCAAGATGGTTTTGTTGCTTTGTTAAGCCGCATGTTTTATTTTGAAATTGCTGGAGGTCCTTTCTACAGAATCTGTTATGCTGGTATATTGGAAAATATTCATAAGGACTTCAGTGAACAGTTGTTTATGAACACCTATCAAGTTACCCTGTATGTGAAGAAGGAGAATAAGTCAAAGGAAGATATTATTGATTTCATGGAGTCCTTTGTACGCTTGAGTACTGAACCAACTATTGATGTAACTACAGAACAGTTTACTAGGGACGGTTCTATCAATTAAAAAATTGAAAATTATGTAAAACCGTGTAGATATTAATCATATGAGCATTATAAAATAAAAGACACATCCGATTTTTTTAAAAACAGCATTTAAAATTAATATATTTATTCTTTCAGTTGATCGAATTTGTTCTAGTATGCAAAGGAAGCAATTTATATCGCAGCCAATTCTCTCCTTGAACTGATAAGCCGCCACAAAAACAAGCAATGGAATCGGATTGAATTGTTAACAATACAAAAATTTATTGCAAACGTGCTTGCTAGAGCCCTCTTTCTCTGAGAAAGTTAAACACAAATGTTTTCAAATTAAACGGTATTTTAAAAGTAATGTAAACAAACATTTTAAAGATAACTTACATGACGCAGTGGCTTTTCAGTTAATTGTTGTCGGTTATGTTGCATGATTTAGGATTTTTCGATGTGTTAATGTTTATTTATTATTAGATTATATAGCGTTGGCAGGTATTACTGACAGTTGAAGATAAAACAGTAACACAACTGGTAAAAACACTTGTATTTCGTAAAATATTTTGCTTCAAATGTTTATGCAATCATTGATTAAACACAAATATATCCAACAGAAAGGATAAACAGAAGTTTTAAGATAAACATAATCAAACCGCCATTTAGAATAAAGTGGACAATTGGTGTTAGATCTGGTAAGACATTATTCACAGTGTTTCCGATTCCTGATGGAATCAATTTGTTCGGAATTTCCTTCAGAAATATTATCAGATTATCAATTGGTCCACTAATAAAATAGATAAGACCTGACGAGGAACTATTAAGAGATTGTGTAAAAATATCTGATAGACCCTGTAAAGTCTCACACGACTCAGTAAAATTAGTTTTCTTGCTTAGTAAAGTCTGAAGATCGAGAACTCTGTCCAACTTAACGATGTTTGCAATATTCTGTAGGTTCTGTAGTGTATTGAAAAGTTGTGTTAGATTGAGAAGATTAGTTAGGTTTCCAAATGGAAGACCGGGTAGGCCAGTTCCATTCCCCGCGAGGTTTTGTAAAACGTCCAACAGGAGAGCAACCTGAGTTAAGTCAGTCAGGTTACCCAGCGGTAACTTATCCAATCCAGGGATGCTACTGAGGTCTTGAAGGTTGAGCAATTCGGTGACATTTTTGAGAATATTACTGGCTTGGGTTAAATTTCCTATTGGTAAATCTCCTCCACCTCCTAAAAGTCCAGTAGCCAAGCCAAGAAGATCGCCAGCTTGAGTCAAGTTGCTTATGGGTAAACTGTCAAGACCTGGTATACTCCCATTACCTACGAGTATATCAAACTTAAGCATACAGAACTATAAATGTGATATATATTTTGATTTACCTAAAAGACCTTGAACTGTCCCAAAAATTTGTGTAAATTGAGTCAGATTGCTTAATGGTAGACCCTCAAGGCTACCACCTCCTAACAAATCGGTTAATTTGCCCAATAGATCAGTTATCATTGTCAGGTTACTTAAAGGTAAATTTTCAAGGTTAGCCAGGTCTTCTAAACTTGGTATACCACCTCCTCCAGCTCCTGACAAAGCTGAAAATGTTTAATATTGTAAAGTAAAATCATTAAAGCCAATAAAACTCACATAACAGGTCAGTAAGAGTTCCAACCAGTGCTGTTGCTTGAGTAAGGTTACTTAGTGGTAAGTCTCCAATATCTCCAGCACCTCCTAAATTAATTAAATTTTAAGCTTAAATTTTTTATTGGTTTAGTTTTGAAAAATTGAAAATACCTAATAAATCTGTGATTGTTCCAAGAACTTGTGTTGCCTGCGTTAGATTACTCACTGGAAGATCACTTAAATCAGGTAAACTACCGTTTCCTACCAAATAAAACAACTACTATTAGAATTGATGGAAAAAATAACCAATTTAGTATAATTTACCAAGTACACCAGAAACTGATTGAATAATCTCAGTTGCCTGTGTTAGGTTACTTAAAGGTAATCCATCTAATCCTGGTACACCACCTTAAATATCAAATTTTTTAAACTTTGTTATTAAAAACCAAAGTTTAGATTAATTATTCTATTACCTAGTAAAGATGGTATAGTATTAAGCAAAGTGGTAGCCTGTGACAAGTTGCTTATTGGTAAATTATTTAAAAATGGTAAACCGCCACTTCCTCCTCCCAGTAAACCTCCAAGACCACCTAAACCACCAGTTAAATTACCAAGACCTCCTAACCCACCGGTTAGATTACCAATAAGTGGTAAACCTCCAGTACCACCAAGCAAATCAGTAACAACATCAAGACCTTTAAAATTCAACATAAAAATTAAAAATATATTTAAATAATTATATTAATATTTAGTTTACCAGGTATATCTCCATTTCCTCCTATGATTCCTCCAATAAGATCCAAAGGATTACCCCCACCAATCAAATCGGTCAAATTGCCAAGTGGTAACGCACCACTATCCAACATATTTTGACCTAAAGCCAACAACAGACTGACTACATCAGTAGAATTCAAACCCCTGTCCAACAATCCGGGTATAATCTCTCCTGTTGCTAAACCCAATATGTTTTGAAAGACGTCATTACTAAGGACACTGTCCAAAATAGTTGTTCCACCAAGTTGAGTGAGTAAACCCAATATACTGCTTAAATCTTGTGCATTTGTTACAGTTGGAGCAGGAACAAAAGTGCCCGAAAGGCAAAGAAATATAATCAATGGCAACGTTTTCATTTTTGAAGGTGTACGTGCTTCAAATGACTTCTATTTGTTATTTAAATTATAATTTATACAAAAATTGTATATCATGAAATAATCCTATTGAGATAACGTTAATATTTTAATTACTTTATCTTATACTTTTAAATGTACATAAACGGAAATAGCATCGTCATTTTTTGGGCCAGTTGCTGCATTTTGGAAAGTTTTTCGGCGGAGAAGGCATTTGGCGATCTGTACCTACCTTTATCACCAATTGCATTCCTTCGGCCGAATGTATATCAATATGACAATGCAACAACCAGTATCCTATATAAAAAATAATAAAAAAAAAACAGTGATTATAGTATTTAATATGATTACGAGTAAATATGAATTATTTACCAACGTTAGTAGCCTTGAAACGTATAATGGTATAACCACCTTTAGGTACACTGACGGTATCTTTTAAAGGAGGCTTAACAAAGTTTCTTTTCAGTTGACCTTCTTTATCTAGATTAATTACTTGTTTTCTTGTCAGATTTCTACCGAGTTCACCCCAACCTAAAACTGCAAATGTGTAACCATGAAGATGTAATTGATGAAGTGTTGCAGCATGGTCCTGGTCCCAAAGTTCCATAAAAACAAATTCAACTATAGCATTTTTTGGTACCTATAATAATACCAATAACAATTTGAACCAAATATTTGTAAAAATAAAAACGTACCGTATAAATATGAGGGCATTGACAGAAATTGGTCTCACAACTACTATTTCTCAATGTTTTTTCATTGCAAAATGCTTTTTGATTGATTTCAAATCGCCCCTGGAGCAGAGGAACATCATACTCATGTGTATAAGTTATATGGTTTAATTGTGGCGTACGTGATTGATAGTTTTCATCAACTAAAATCAAATTTCCTATTAAACATCATATTAAAATGGATTTTAATGTAAATTTACCTTGTTTAAATCCATAATAAGGATATCTATGTTTTACTGGATGATCTATACTGCTCATGTCTAGAGAAACATAAAACTTGTGAACTTTTGAAGAATTCAAAGATGAATCTACTTTGTGTATTGACCTGGATTCATGAATGCCAATAACATTTGAATATCCTGTAGCATTAGCAATACTAACTGGATTGTAGATCTATAAATATTTGTATGAATCTGATTGATTTTTAATTTTTAATAAAATTTTGTTACTAACCACACCACCAGTTGGAGCTGATGTTGCATATGTAGGAAAAGTGCTATTTGGAGTTTCATCCAACGACCCTTCATAATGAAGTAAAGCCATAGTAAATGTTTCCAAATGGGAACATTGAAGATATCCTTTAAATCTTATGTAATAAGTGGAGTTTGGTTGATCTGCTTTCAGGATAAAGTCAAAACGTTCACCAGAAGTTGCCACAAATGAATCAACTAAAATTTGATTAAAAATATTCATTGTTTCAATCCTAATCAACGTGATATGCAAATATCTACCTTGAAAAGGTTCTAAATCTTCAGAATCAGTAGAAATGATTGTCATTTTATGTTGATCAATGGAAATCTCAATTGGACAGTCGTAGAAAGCAACTTGAACAACCCTAAATCTGTAACGAAATCCCTAAACCAGAAATAATATTGAAAAAATAAAAAAATTATAAAAATACTCACACTTTTGACTGTAAAATTAGCTAAAGGTGTCGTAGTAATATTTGTATTAGATTGATATCCTAAACCATTGACTAAAAGACCAGGAATCTTAATTTTTTCTCCTCCTAAAATAAAAGATTCAAAAACTTCTAAATTAGGACGATGTGTCCAATCTGTAATCATCATCACATGGGAAGACAGGTCAAAGTCATAGAGTTTTACATGGTGATTATTCTTTTTACTTTGTCGAATAATCATTGGGCCATAAACACCATCACCACGTTGCATTTCTAAAATGCCAAAATTTAAAAATTTAAAAATTAAAAACACTTTAAAACTATATCTATAACATACCAGAGTGAGAATGCCACCACATAGTTCCATAATTAACCGCAGTAAATGTATATGTAAAGTTATTATTATATAAAATAGGACATTGTGAAATCCATGGCACGCCATCCATATATTTATCTTTAACCATGTGTTGACCGTGCCAATGAATTGTAGTGGATGCACCATCTATAAGATTGTTCTCGACATGGACCATTATTTTATCTCCCTGACATACCTCAATTGCTGGACCAGGTAATTTTCGGTTTACCACACTCACAGTACGTTTTATACCACCGGCAATGATGCAATCCGGACGATAACAATCAGTGATATTATTTGGGCAATCAAAACATGCTTTGCTCATCGAGTAGAAAGTTTCAACGTTAAAATTGAAGAAACACCGTTTAATCTTTCCATCACATTGACGATTACAAAGTGCTCCATCGATATATCCACGTGGTATAGTTGATGGTTTTGTGGGAATAAGTTGGTTTAAAAAGTTCAAAATTTTTGGTTCTGGTAGGTTTTCTGATTGTACGAATAATATTGTGAAATAATAATACAATAGAATCGGGTGATACGCCATCATTTTGAATTTATTATCAACTGCAGTTTCAGTATTCGTATGTACTCGTAAATACATATTATATCTAGTAATGATTACTTTAATTACGGGAAATGTTAAATATTTAGAAATTTAGTACATTTTTTAAATTATTTTTGTTTTAGTAAAAATAACAGCCACGTGTGCATGAAACAGTTAGAATGTTATGTATTTCTACAAAATAATATTATTGACTATTATCTTTAGCCACACTTTATGTCCAGAAAAAGAATTAATAATAGGATGGTATACTTGGTTGCCTACTATACTGGTAACTTCCTACATAAGGTTATGCAATCAAAACTACTAAATATGAACGCAAAACAAGTTTTATTTTTATTTATTTTTATTTATTGACTGTAGCAACGAACACAACAAAAACAAACATTTAATATCTTGGCCAATTGCCGCATCTTGGGAAGTAATCAGGCACCGTGGGCATTTCCGAGTTCTCTCCAACTTTAACCACAATATCCATACCCTCACTAGCATGTACATCAATATGACAATGCATCAGCCAATAACCAACATTGTCGGCTTTGAATCGAACAATCGTGTAACCACCCTTAGGTACAGTCACTGTATCCTTTAAAGGTGGATTGACAAAGTTTCTATTCAGCAGACCTTCACGATCCATACGTATGACTCCATCAAGCGTTAGATTTCTATCAATTTCTCCCCAGCCCAGAACCCTGAATGAGTAGCCGTGAAGATGGATTGGATGCAGAGCGGGAGCGTCATCTTGATCAAAGAGTTCGATGAAGACAAATTCTACAATAGCATTTCTAGGAACCTAAAGAAAATTATTACAATATAGTATTTGAAATTATTAAAGAAATAAACTTGGTAATTACCGAAATGACGTGAGGACATTCACAGAAAGTATTCTCACAGTTCCTGTTGCGTACTGTGTCGGCATTGCAGAAAGCTCCCTGGTTAATCTCGAATCGAGCGGGTAAAAGTGGAACGTCCAAGTTTTTATGTGATATACGGTTGAATTGAGGTGTACGGGCACGTAAAGTGGGATCAACTAAAGTTTACAATATTAGTTGCATTTACTAAAATTTAAAAAAATTTAAAATAAATATTTACCTTGATTGAAAGCATAATATGGATATCTATGGAATACAGGATGGTCTAAACCGCTCATATCTACAGTGATATAATATCTGAAGACATTTTGAGTGTTCAAATCATATTCTAATGGTTCCATTGCAAAACCTTGATGAATACCTATTACTTGTCGATATCCAGTGGCATTAGCAATACTAACTGGATTATAAAGCTAGAAATTTATAAAAATTTAAAAATAATAATCAAATTTAAATTAATTTATCTTTTATACTGACCACTCCACCAGTTGGGGCTGATGTAGCATAAGTAGGGTACCTTCCAGTTGGTAGCTCATTCGGAGATCCTTCATACCTCAACGTAGCGACAGTAAATGTACTAAGACGTTCACAAGTCAAGAAACCTTTGACTCTGATATAATAAGTAGACACAGCTTGATTAGCATACAGGACAAAATCAAATCTTTCACCAGAACTTGACACGAATGAATCCACTATGGAACAGACAATCAAGCAATGAATTAAGAAATTAAAATTGTTTTTATGGTCTGCTTCATACCTTCAAATGGATCCAAATCATTAGAATCAGTAGAAATAATCAACATCTTGTGTCCATCGATGGAGAACTCAAGAGGACAATCAAAGAATCCTGTGTTAATAAAACGGAATCTGTATCTGAATCCTCGTTGAACAGTAAAATTAGCTGTTGGAGTGTTTGTAATATTGGAAGTTGATTGGAAGCCATAACCATTGACCAAGATACCCGTAGGTTCCAGCCAATCACCTGCTAGGGCATAAGCTTCAAAAACCTCCAATCTAAGACGATCATTCCAGTCGGTAACCTGGATCACATGCGAGGAGAGATCAAAATCGTACATATCCCAATGGTAGTTATCCTGAGGAGCTTGCCGGACGATCATAGCACCATAAACACCATCACCACGTTGCATTTCTAATAAAAAAATCATTTTTAACATTAAAACCAAATCAATTAAATTTTTTGTTTTTTAAACCTACCAACATGAGAATGCCACCAATAGGTACCAGGATTATCAGCCCAAAACTCATAAGTGAAGTTATTGTTGTAGTGGATGGGACATTGTGTAACCCATGGAACACCATCCATATATTTATCTCTCACCATGTGTTGACCATGCCAATGGATGGTGGTACCCTCGCCGTCCATAAGATTATTCTGTAGGTAAACCATCACTTCATCACCTTCACATACTTCTATTGCTGGACCAGGGAGTTGACGGTTGACTACCATGACAGTACGTCTGGTTCCACCAGCAACAATACAATCAGGTCGGTAGCAATCAGATAAAACAGTTGGGCAGTTGTAACAGGCTTTGCTCATTGCATAAAATGTCTCCAAATCAAAGCTGAAGAAACAGCTTCTTGTGGAACCATCGCATGGACGATTGCATCTTCTGCCATCGATGTATCCTCGGGGGATTGATTTGGTTTGAAGAGTTTTATATTCTTTGCTTTTGTTTTCCAGGTGGTTGAAGGTGGTATGTTGTTTATTTTTACTTTTTTCACTGATTTTTCCTTTTGATTTAGCTTTGCCTTTATTTTTACCTTTACCGGATGTGTTATTGGCTGAACTTATGTCAACCCAAAGTAATATGATGCAACAGAGCAAGAAAACCTTTTGGAAAAGCATGGCGAGACGCTTTTCAGGCGCTCTGAATGAAAACTGTGCACCGCTTGTGTAATATATATATGCTCGTCAGGAAAAAAATCGAAGCGTGTATATCGCTACGGCTAATTTCCCTGCAATTTCGCGAAACATGCATAGCGCACATATTTCTAAAAGTTTTTCAAATATGTTTGTTTTTTGACAGCCGATTAACTCGTATTTTAGAAAAATGATAGTGGAAAAATGCAACTTTTGGCACATTAATTTCGATCAGAATTTGAGGCACATTTGCAACAATGTATTTCAAGCGGTTAATCATTTGATAACACACGTAGCTAGCGCACCGGTTTTGCGGAAAACATGTTTTGGAAGTTACTACGTGCGCAATCGCAATGTACTTTTATCAGTTGGAAAATAAATCACACATGAAAACATCATTAAACTTTCCTTGCAGGCATAATGTGGGAAAATGGTTTTGATTTTTTGTTTAGCCTCATAAATTTGTCAAAATGTTTCCAAGTTGATTAATTTATTATTGTTGACTGTATTTTTTTCTATCAAAAGCGTTATTTCTTAGAAGTTGCTTATCGTTGATAATTTCTGACGAATTCAATAATTTCTTGTAAGGCACGGTAAAGTACTGCACATGTTCTATGAACTATGTTGGTTTGCAATTTTTGAATACTTTAAATTGTTAAATTGTTTGGTTGTTATTATAAACGATATTTATGGAAGAATTTTTTAATCATCTTATTTAAAATTAGCAGACATTTATTTATTTATTTGAATCAAGTTTAATGCACTGGAAACAATAAAAGTAGAATCATAAAATATTATAGCTGAGATAATAATGATTATTGAAGTTAATATTCTTTAATTATATTTAATAAACAATAATTTTTAATTTTAGCAAAAGTACCACTTAAATTACAGCCTAGATAAAAATTGCTTTTTTAAAAATTTGATTGCAATTCGTTTCTCAAACGTTTTACGAATTTATTATTTTAAAAGAAACAAAAGGTAACAAAATAAATAATTATACAATAATAATTGTAGCGTATTTCTGGATATCCAACTTTGTTTACTCTAATTGAAAGAATTCTATGAATTGTAAAAGTTACTTATTTAAACCATAACTTTAATTGACAATAATTTCTTACTTAATTTACGACTTACAAACTGACTGACTGTGTATAAACAAACTTACCTTTGCGTAAAATTCAACAAATTTTAAAAACTTTACCCTTTGTTTATTAAGTTGCATATGGTACTACACAGTACCATAATAATGTGAAACATAAATTGCCTATATTAAGACCATAAACATATTTTATTTACGATTTCATAATAGGTTGAAACAATTTTGCATAGTTTTTTATACCAACAAGTTAACAGAATCTTTTATTATTTTATTAAACAGGCCAATTTCCACACGTGGGGAAATTTGCGGGTGGGTTACTGATTTGAGCGTTGCTGCCTACCTTTATTACCAACTCCATTCCTTCCATTGCGTGCACATCAATATGACAATGTAAGAACCAAAATCCTGAAATTTTCCCAATAAAAAATAATTCATTCAACATTAAAATAAAATGATATCTCACCTGGATTATTTGCAACAAAACGAACAATAGTTGCACCACCTCTTGGCACATTTACTGTATCCTTCAATGGAGGATTTACGAAGTTGCGAGGAAGACTACCATGATTCATCATAAAGCCTGGACGCGTTAGATTGGGACCTATTTCACTATAATGAACAACAGCGAAACTAAAACCATGGAGATGCATTGGATGAATAGCTGGTGCGTCGTCTTGATCCATTTCATCAAACATTACCAACTCCACTACTTCATTCAAATTAACTTCTAAGACATGAGGACATTCACAGAAGTCCCTCTCGCAATTGCGATTCATCGTTGTTTCAGCAGTACAGATATCTGTATTCCTAATATTGTACCTATTTGCCATCAAATTAAAACTGAAAGGTTTGAAGGTAAGATGGTTCAATTGAGGAGTGCGGACTCTCTGGTTTGGAGCAACTTGGTTAAAACCATAAACAGTTGATCTGTGATTAGCAGGATGATCAATTCCACTCATGTCTAAAGAGATGAAGAATCTTCTTACGTTGTTAGTATTAAGCCCATTGATTGTTCTGAGAGATCTTAATCTATCTATGGTAATAAATCGGGCATTTCCGGGACCAGTGGGATTCAAAACCTATAAAAAAAATTAAAAATTTTAAATTTAAAAAAATTGACTGTGTTATTTGTACCAATGAATTGCGGTTATTAGCAGTATTGTAGTTAGGTACAGTACCAGCACCAAGAGGTCTGCTAGATCCATCATACGTCAAAGTAGCCAACTGGTAAGTCTGTAACCTTTCACAGAGTAGGGTTCCCTTCACACGGATCCAATAAGTGTTAACCGCTTGATTAGCGTTGATTAAGAAGTCAAATCTTTCTCCAGAGTTGCTGACAATGGAATCCACTTCCACAGGTTGGACATCTTGACCATCGCTGGAGATAACAGTTAATTTATGGTTGTCTACTGTTACCTCAAAGGGACAATCGAAGAAGTTAGCGTTGATCAATCGGAAACGATGAACATTTCCCTGGAAAACCATAAATTAATTGAAATTAAATTTATGTTTATGTTTTATGTGAATAAAACCTACCCTGCGGACAATAAAATTAGCCATTGGTGTCCCCCTGATATTATCATTCATCTGGTCACCGTAACCATTAATAAGGATACCAGTAGGTTCCAGGAACTCTCCATTTTTAGCGTAGGCTTGGAAAACATCCATTCTCCTGCGATTATTCCAATCCGTGATAATCATGGTGTGCCCATCCGTGTGGTAAGCATTAAAGTAAGGATTATTGGCAGGTGCCTGGCGGATAATCATTGGACCAAAATGACCATCACCACGTTGATCAGCTATTATCAGAAATTTATTAATACATTTTTCAATACCTTGATGACCAACTTACCCTGATGAGAATGCCACCAGTGGGTACCAGGTGTAGCAGCAATAAACTCATAAGTCATATTATTCTTAGCTAAAATCGGACATTGAGTAACAAATGGCACACCATCCATATATTGAAAATCTTTCATATGTTGTCCATGCCAATGAATAGTCGTAGCCTCTCCAGTCTCCATTTTATTTTCCACTAGAACCCTAATACGATCACCTTCACATGCTTCAATAGCAGGTCCCGGAATCTGACGATTGACAGAGGTGACTACTCGACGAATTCCACCACCAACCATACAATCAGGCCGGAAACAATCGGTGAATACTGATGGGCAATTGAAACATGCTTTACTCATGGTGTACATTGTCTCTACTCGGAAGTGGAAGAAGCAATTTCGTAGTTCTCCATTGCAGTTGCGACGACAATCCACACCGGCGAACCATCCACGTGGAGGTGACTCAAACCGTGGACCTTGACTTTGAATTTCCACTACATTTGCAATAAACAAGAGCAGGAATGCTCCGTAAACTCTAACCGAACCCATCTTGGATCGATTGATAGGAACGCGTTTGGATACGCGTGTTTTTTATACTTTTTTTGAAACAAACATGGTTGCGACACATTTGATAAACTGTGATAATGGCCGATAAGGTTTGCAAAATTTGCGTAAAATTTGAAATTCACAAACTTCTCAAACGCTGCCGTCACGGCGTGTGTTTGCTTTGCAAAAATTCTAATTACGAGAAGGCAAATGTTCAATTTGTGTGATAATTTTGTTAAATATTCAAAAATACCCAAAATTATTTTTCAAGGGTAACGTTTATTCATGTTAGTGTAATCTTCCGTTAATAATATTTTTGGTGATAAATCACAAATTGGTAGATATTTGTAGATACATCACTTTTAAGTAGTAATTGGTAATTAATTATTGTTTACTTTAATTGGCAATTTTAAAGTGCATTTACTTGTATCAACTTTTTGTTTACCATTACATTACCATTGACAGATATATTTTATGTGCATAAAATATATAAATTATATTCATATATTTGCCTAGTTAATTCAGTTCCCAAATATGATAAATTAAAATGCACAAAATTGCTGATAAGATTCACCGAATTTAGCTATTGTTTATTTTCATTGCACAAATATTTTTGTTACTAACTGCGCAAAATATTAAATATTTAAAAATATTTTTAAAAACAAAAAAAAAACATGAAAATTTCATTAATTTGATTTTATTTTTTCTTATAAATTTCTAATTGTCAAATACATGTCTAATAATTATAAGATCACCTTGTACAGTGCTCACAATATATTATAAACATCAGTGAATTGATTTTTTAATTGAAAATTTTCGATTTTATGGTTGCATTTAAAGGAATTAATAAACATTTGACATTCTTTGATAAAGTAATATATTTGCCAACAAATAAATCCTAAATTATTAGTTCTAAATGTTTAATATAAACAATATTTGCTATTAAACATTTTATCATTTGTTTTTTACAACAATTCATGTCCCTTTCTGCGAGCAATTCTTGATTGAACTTTTGCGTTCTCATAACTGCGACATTTTGGAAAATCTTGTGGCACAGGTTTCATGTCCTGATTGGAGCCAACTTTAAAAACCATTCGCATACCATCATCGGCGTGGATATCAACGTGACAATGGAAAATCCAAAAACCTAAGTTATTTACCAGAATAAATTAATAAACAAAATAATTTAATCAAGATTATAAAAATATTACCTGGATTATCAGTCTTAAATCTAACAATAGCATAGCCTCCACGTGGAACAGGAATAGTGTCCTTCTTGATAGGATCCTTTAAATTTCTGGTGATCAAACCGCGTTTATCTAAGCTTTCAATATCTGCTCGCGAAGTTAAATTTCCAAGGCGTTTCCATGCCACGACACGAAAACCAAAACCATGCAGATGCATAGGATGATGAGCTTGACGAACACCATTGTCATAAATCACAAGTTCCACCACTTTATTTATCGGCAACTATTAAAAATATTATAAAAATAAAATAAAAACTTAATTCAACTTAATCTTTAGATTTTTTACTTACTTCAACAACATGTGTGCAATGGCAATACTCTTTGGTACAATTCTTATTCGCAGACGCAGTTTCATTATTACAAAAATCTTTCTTAGAGAACGAATACCTTTCTGACAATAACGGAAACCGAGAGTCTTTGTATCCAATATCATTCATTTCCGGAGTAACTATTCTCAAAGATTCAGAAACATTATAAAATCCATAATAGGGATACCTGTAAGAAGTTGGATTCTCCACCGGATTAAAGGATAACTTGATGTATCTCGAACAACATTTCGGGTTTTAACTCGTCTTCCATTGGTTCATAAGCTTTCAATTGATTAACAAGAAGTGTTCCAGGTTCATCTCCAAGGAGAGGATTTATACCATTGACAGATATATTTTATGTGCATAAAATATATAAATTATATTCATATATTTGCCTAGTTAATTCAGTTCCCAAATATGATAAATTAAAATGCACAAAATTGCTGATAAGATTCACCGAATTTAGCTATTGTTTATTTTCATTGCACAAATATTTTTGTTACTAACTGCGCAAAATATTAAATATTTAAAAATATTTTTAAAAACAAAAAAAAACATGAAAATTTCATTAATTTGATTTTATTTTTTCTTATAAATTTCTAATTGTCAAATACTTGCCTAATAATTATAGGATCACCCTGTACAGTGCTCACAATATATTATAAACATCAGTGAATAGAATTTTTAATTTAAAAATATTAATTTTATGGTTGCATTTAGAGGAATTAATAAATATTTGATATTCTTTGATAAAGTAATATATTTGCCAACAAATAAATCCTAAATTATTAATTCTAAATGTTTAATATAAACAATCTTTGCAATTAAACATTTTATAATTTGTTTTTTACAACAATTCATGTCCCTTTCTACGAGCAATTCTTGATTGAACTTTTGCGTTCTCATAACTGCGACATTTTGGAAAATCTTGTGGCACAGGTTTCATGTCTTGATTGGAGCCAACTTTGAAAACCATTCGCATACCATCATCGGCGTGGATATCAACGTGACAATGGAAAATCCAAAAACCTAAATTATTTACAAAGTTAAATTAATAAACTAAATAATTTAATCAAGATTAAAATATTACCTGGATTATCAGTCTTAAATCTAACAATAGCATAGCCTCCACGTGGAACAGGAATAGTGTCCTTCTTGATAGGATCCTTTAAATTTCTGGTGATCAAACCGCGTTTATCTAAGCTTTCAATATCTGCTCGCGAAGTTAAATTTCCAAGGCGTTTCCATGCCACGACACGAAAACCAAAACCATGCAGATGCATAGGATGATGAGCTTGACGAACACCATTGTCATAAATCACAAGTTCCACCACTTTATTTATCGGCAACTATTAAAAATATTATAAAAATAAAATAAAAACTTAATTCAACTTAATCTTTAGATTTTTTACTTACTTCAACAACATGTGTGCAATGGCAATACTCTTTGGTACAATTCTTATTCGCAGACGCAGTTTCATTATTACAAAAATCTTTCTTAGAGAACGAATACCTTTCTGACAATAACGGAAACCGAGAGTCTTTGTATCCGATATCGTTCATTTCCGGAGTAACTATTCTCAAAGATTCAGAAACATTATAAAATCCATAATAGGGATACCTGTAAGAAGTTGGATTCTCCACCGGATTAAAGGATAACTTGATGTATCTCCGAACAACATTTCGGGTTTTTAACTCGTCTTCCATTGGTTCATAAGCTTTCAATTGATTAACAAGAAGTGTTCCAGGTTCATCTCCAAGGAGAGGATTTAAAAGCTTTAAAAATAAAAATAAATAAAAAGTTAGGTTATATTAGGTTAGAATTATTAACACATACTAAGCCTGTGTTTGGTGCAGCATTTTCATAATTTGGAATTGCCGTGGTTGGTCGATCATTAGGTGAATTTGCATATTTCAAGATGGCAACTTGGAATAAACCTTCAACGTCACACATTTCTAAACCTTTGACACGCATCCAATAAGCATCCTCGGTTTGATTTGCTTCCAGGATTACATCGTAACGTTCACCAGCGAATATATTGAAGTAATCCACTAAACAAAAGCAAAAATATTAATAATATTAATATTCTAATATTCTAATAAATAGAAGAAGAAGAAAAAACATAAAAATAATCACTTACCCGCTTGTGGTTGAACATCATGCCCATCACTACTGATAACAGTAAGTTTGTGGTTGTCAAAACTTACAGTGAATGGACAATCAAAGAATTCAGCATTAACAAATCTGAATCTGTAACGTTTACCCTAAAAATATTTATAATTCACAATTAAAAATAGATAAATTTTAATTTTTAATTTAATTACTTTCTCAACAGTAAACTCTGCAATGGGTAGCCTATCATCTACATTAACAAAATCCATGTATCCAAGTCCATTAATAAGAATGCCATCTGGTGCCGGGAGGTTGCCACCATGCACAAAATCACCATAAGATTCAATTCGAGTCTTCCTAGTCCAATCAGTAATCGAAACTTGATGTTGTGTTAAATCCTCATCATATAAACTAGCATGAGGGTCTTTAGCTTTTGGTACGTTTACAATTAACATACCAAACATACCATCACCTCTTTGCATTTCTAAAAATAGCAATATAACAATAAAATAACACGTTAATATTAAATTTTTAAAAAAATTTAAATTATTACTTTCATGCGAATGCCAAAAATGTGTTCCTGCCACAGCAGCTTGCAGACGATAGGTAAAATTATTATTGGATAACACAGGACATTGCGTCACAAAGGGTACGCCATCCATGTAAGGATTTTCTTTTACAGTTTGACCATGCCAATGAATCGTTGTGGATTCATCATTCATCATGATATTTTCCAAGAGGACTTCTATTGTATCGTTTAAACACACCTGGAAAATAAAAGTTATTGTTTAATTTTAAGGTTAGTTTAATTAAATAGATTTTAGTTTAGGTTATGTTAGGTTTAGTTACCTCTATAGGGGGACCTGGAAATTGACGGTTTACTGTAATAATATTCCGTTTAATTCCGCCAGCGACGATGCAATCTCGTCGATAACAGTCTTTCACGACGTCAGGACAGCTATAACATGCCATAGCGTCCAGGATGTAGTAAGTTTCAACTTGGAAATGGTATTTACATGTCATTGAAGTACCATCGCATTCTCTTTTACATGGATGTATCGGCCGAGTATTTTGTGCATAGGTACCAACTAAAATTAAATAAAATTAAATAATTATTCAACTTAGAAGCATAAATAAATCATTTTAATTATTATTATTTATTTTATTACCAATTAATGTTGATATGATGATAAACTCACTCAAAATCATTTTATTTTTGAGTTTTTGGGTTTTGCTGTTTAATTAAACGTTTGTTCTTCTTCTTGAGTTAACGCCAATTACTGTAATAATAATTAAAGTAAATTACAACTTGTGTTTATATACAAATTTAAATAGAATTTATCATTATGAATTGACAGCAATCGTTCAGCAAAAGGTACAAAATATTTCAGAAATGTTCAGCTTATTTAAACCGCGAATTGGTATGTGAATTACGGTAAATATATTCGGTGTATACCTGCCCATATTACAATTGTGATAATGAAATGTCACAATGATAAGAACCACGGGTGTTTTGCAATAAAAATTCTTAAAAAAGGAAATGAAAATAAACAATACAGAAAATTCCACTGTCATTTTTCTTCACTTTTTGAAATGCAATTTTTATGACAATTTATATTTAACATACTTTTATAAACAGAACTACATAGGAATTAAATTAAATTAAAGTAGGAAATGTTTTAATTGTTTTTGTTAGTATAACTATGGCAGGTAGGAAATTGATTAAGAACTAGTTTAATTTGTTTATTACTAAAAATAAACGGAAAATAATATAAAAACTGTAAAAAATATTTTTGTTTAATTTCTTACCTGACATTGTTACAATTATTGTAATTTGCTTAAAAACCACTATTATATAATACTTTATTAGATACCTACCATATATCTAACTGCAATAGTAGGCAATTTTTGTCGATTAGCACAAAAAAGTCATAATTTTATAATTTCACAGACATAAATAATATTTACCATAATACCTGCCAGTTGTTTGACTTGAACAATAAATTACACTTTTTGTGTAGAGAACATAATTAAAAATCATCAGGAAGCCCATAACACAACGCAGCGTAACATTGGTAATAAATTAAATGACTAATGATGCAGAAGCTCTTCGCCTCTTTCGGCAGCATCGCTTTTCCATCCCATCCCAGGTTTCCTTTATTTCTTCATTTTTATTGTTGTTCCAATGCTCTTGATGGGTGGCGCCGCAGCACGTCCGTGGCTTAATAAGCTTAATCACGTTTTAATTTTCTTCCTTGGGTAGGTATACGGTTTCATTGTAGGAAACATGTTAGGTTTTTTAAATTTAGCATGACTTCCCATAATATAACAAGAATAAAACTTAGATTTATGCTCTAAATCAGCAGTAAAATTGTTATTAAAATAGGAAAATCAACAGTCAAAGGCCGGGTAACTTGAGCCATAAAAATGGTTTGCGCAAATGCATAAAATAAGTAATATTATTTATGACTTAAGGTATCAAAAAAATTGTAAAAATATAATTTTTATAAAAAAAATGATTTTTTAGAGAAAAGGGATAGCTATCAACGAATTGTTGATTATGGAAGATTGGAAAATTCTCTATCAGATAAAAATATAAAATAATTATATTTCCAACAGTAATGGTAAAAAAACATACACTAAAATTACTAAAAGTGACATTTCAATTTTTGCCCAATTTATTCAATCGCGAATATCTCGTAAACTAAAAGAGATAAATAAGATCTGATTGCAGCGTTTTAATCTACGGACTATTCTCTATAAGATAGCATAAGTTAAAACGGAAATCGAGAGATGAAATTTTTCATTCTTAAGAAAAAATTGCCAGGGGTGCTTGATACTTTTTGGCGATTTTGATAAGCCGTATCCCTTCAACTATGTAATAGCAACCAACAAATTGTTGATTATGAAAGATTAGAAAATTCTCTATCAGATAAAAATATAATATAATTATATTTCCTACATTAAAAAGGTCGAAAAATGCCACTAAAAGTACTAAAAGTGACATTTTTCCATTTTGCGCCATTTTATTCAATCACTTGAATATCTCGTAAACTAAGGGATAAATAAGGTCTGATAAAGCGTTTAATCTACGAACTATTCTCTATAAGATAACATAGTTAAAACGGAAATCTGAATGATAATTTTCATTCTTAAGAAAAAATTGCCAGGGGTGCTTGATACTTTTCGACGATTTTTGAAAGTAAATATCGCTTTAATAAAGCGATAGCAACCAACAAGTACTGATTATGAAAGATTGGAAAATTCTCTATCAGATAAAAATATAATATAATTATATTTCCAACAGTTAAAGTCAAAAAATGCTGCACTAAAAGTACTAAAAGTGACATTTTCAATTTTTGCCATTTTTTCAATCGCGAATATCTCGTAAACCAAAAAGAGATAAATAAGATCTGATCGCTTGATAATTTTTTATCGACGATTTTTCAATACTTGATACCTCTTAAACTAAAAGAGATAACAACAAACAAATTTAAAATTTTTAATTTGAAATAAAATAATAACATGTTTTCTCTAAATATTTCACAATGTACATACTAAGTATAAAAGAATGTGTTTTTAAAACATAATTCTGCTATTTTAGTATTCAGCTATTTTCTACCCAGCAGTGACAAATTCCAAAGCAATAAATGTTTAAAAATATGCATCTACATAACCATTCTGCATTTTGTCAGCTTGACCGTGAATTAATGGAACTTGTTTGTCTACTTATAAAAATCCCAGGTTATCAATAACAAAAGCATAAACAGTAAAACATTAAAGTATGTAAAATAAAGTTGTAAATTTTAGCACTGGCTTGACACTCGACAGTCCTATGTAATATGTACATATTTAAATATGAAATTCAATTCGCACAGCGTTCGAGTGATTCCCACATTTTCACCGGAATTGAAAAATCGACACCGACGCACGGAAAACGCGTAGAAACACGTATACTACATTCATACAAACTTGATGCACATATTGGTATGGATATAGTGGCTCATGAGATCCCACAAAGATAAATCAGCACATGCTAAAGGTTTAAATAAAATTTAAATTATTTTTGGATGAAATATTCAAGTGAAGTTTTGTGATGAAAAAAATTGTTAAATCACTCAGTATAAAGATTGTAGTATAATTGGTGGATACGGTTTTGTGAAGTAACGCACCATGGGGTAGAAAAATCTCGTCCACAACCACTGATGCTTACTGGGCAGAGGGTGGAAAGATTAGACCGTTGCTATTGTTAACAGCTCGAATCGAGGTTTAAAGCTTTTACCCCAGTAAAATTACCACGCAGGTAGAAAATTCAAAAGTTTCAGTTATAACTTGATTTATTCTACATAAACCAAAAAGTTTGGATTTATGTTTTAATAAAACCACACAATAAAAAAAATTAAATTTTAAGGTTAAACATGTTTTAATGCTTTTATTTACCACCTAAACCTAAAATAATTCAATTATTACTTTTATATTATTTTATACAACAAGGAAGAACTCTATTTGAACTCATGTGGAACGGATGCAGTGATATTCGAGATGACTTGCATTCTGAAAACCAACTGCAACATAACGTGCGAAACCTAAACCTATAGTCCTCTGAACCTACATCTCACGCTGATGTAGATCAAAAGGGAATTCGCACGGAATTCGCATCCACCTACGAAAGGTCAACGGCGGAACAATTCCATCTGATACCGACCTCATGATCAGCTTGGACGCATCCGAGCGCAAACTAAATACCGCAAAGTTTTCGCTTTATTTACGTCAAATTCCACAAATGTAGGAAAAAGAAAAATGTTTTGCCTTTTCTATGACGAAATCTTTTTTCAGCAAATGCAGGTTCTGTAATAATTAAAATTTTTAAATTCTGCTTTCGGATTCTGAAAGTAGATTAAATTCAGAATCGGAAACTACTAACACACTTATCGATTAAGGCCCGATTGGCATGTAAAATACAATTTTTTAATTAAAACTGCCAATACAGCCTAAACAGTCAATGTTAAGAAAATAATTACATAAATAGTCGATATAGAATTTTAGCTTACAGAATCCGAAAACAGAATTTAAAAATTCCACTTATACAGAAGCTGCACTTGCTGAAAACAGATTTTTAAACATTAATTTTACCCGCCATTAGTTACCGCCAAAACTATATCAGCCTCCTTACACTTTCTGCGATCCGAATACCAAAACCTGAGTTTCGACTGTTTCGAGTCCAAATTTTGTGTCATTTTGCCTCCCAGAGTCGACAAAATAATGGTTGAATATTAGGAGAGCAGAAAGTTGAGGAGGCTGATAAAGTTTTCGCGGCAACTAGTAATGTGCTGCCTCTAGTGGTAACGGCTCGAAGCTCAAAACTTTCAGTAGTTTTAGTTTCCAATAAACAGATGGCGCTAGCATGCACTTTTTAAAATAAATGCTTTAAGGGATCGTTTCATATGTGATCGGGTTGAAATAACAGAACAAATTAAAATCAGAAATACTTAAAAAATATTATTTATTAAAGAAAACACACCAGTATAAATTTTGGAAGTACATTTGTGTAATTATCACAAAAGTTATTTAACATAATAATAAAAAAATTAAATATTAACAGTATGATGCAAGAATGGTCCTTCCACGATGTCAGACTCAGGTGCAAAATCCCTAAAACCATCAAAAATTAGTAATTTGAACATAAAAATGCAATTTTGGAAGTCAATTTGGTAAATAATCACAAAAGTTATTTAGGAGAATGATAAAGAAATTTAATACTTACAATCTGATGTAAAAATGGTCCTTCTACGATGTAAGACGCAGGTGCAAAATCCCTAAAACAATCAAAAATTAGTAAGTTGAACATAAAAATGCAATTTTTGGGGTCAACTTGTGAGATAATCACAAAAGTTATTTAGGAAAATGATAAAGAAATTTAATACTTACAATCCGATGCAAGAATGGTCCTTCTACGATGTCAGACTCAGGTGCAAAATCCCTAAAACCATCAATAATTTGTCCTTCAAGTATAAAAATGCAATTTAGGGGCTTAATTTGTGGGATAATCACAAAAGGCATTTAGGAAAATGATAAAGAAATTTAATACTTACAATCTGATGCAAGAATGGTCCTTCTAAGATGTCAAACTCACAGGTAAAATCCCTAAAACCATCAAAAATTAGTCCTTCGAACATAAAAATGCAATTTTGGGGGTCAATTTGTGAAATAATCACAAAAGTTATTTAAGAGAATGATAAAGAAATTTAATACTTACAATCTGATGTAAAAATGGTGCTTCTACGATGTAAGACTCATGTGCAAAATCACTAAAACCATCAAAAATTAGTAATTTGAACATACAAATGCAATTTTGGGGGTCAATTTGTGAGATAATCACAAAAGTTATTTAGGAAAATGATAAAGAAATT